CCGACCCTTAAAAACTCTAAATCCTTCAAAACCCGAAACTCTGAAACAAAACTCTAAACCCTCAAAAACCCTAAACCCTAAACCCTAAACCCTAAAACCTAAACCCTTGAAACCCTTGGCCTTCACCTCGGCACTGGGATCTACGGTAGCGTCCGCCATGGCTCAGGCGGAGCCGGGGCCTCCGAAGCCCTCGAAGCTGAGCCGCAGCGGCCGCGACGAGGGTTTAGGGGTTTAGGGGTTTAGGGGTTTAGGGTTTAGGGTTTAGGGTTTAGGGTTTAGGGTTTAGGGTTTAGGGGTTTACGGTTTAGGGTTTAGGGTTTAGGAAGCGTGGTTTTGGGTCGACGGAGTGCTTTGACCGCAATGTTCAGTTTAGGGTTTAGGGTTTAGGGTTTAGGGACGATCTTAAGAACAATCGACACAACTCCAAAAATTGGGCTCGGGCTGCGGCTGCTGGAGGGGGGGGGGGGCTGGAATTACGGCTGGGGCTGCGGATTGGGCTGGGCAAAGCTGAAGTTCCAAGAGCTGGCGGTGAAAAGTTACAAGTTCTAGTTTTTACTTTCGTCTAGAAGGTATATAATTTATAAGGCTTAGTAACTTGAAGTGGGCTTTTGGGGTTTCAGATTGAGATTTGGCTAGGCTCAGTGCCGCTAGAGACCGCTCGGATTGATCGGGTAGGGGTTAGGGTTTAGAGTTTAGGGTTAAGGGTTTAGGGGTTTCGGTGAGTTTGGGGTTCCGGACGTCAATCTATGATTTCAAGAACGTCTCACTGGTCTTGACCATGTAGCGCAGTGACCACGAACACGGACTCTAGACTCTAGACAGCGATCAGATGAAGCGCCTGCAGTTTTGTGTCAACCCGCTGCCTGCGCAAGGCTGGCGCGCCTAGCAGGGACAGGACCCTGTCTACCACTCCTGGAGCCAAGGGAGGTGGCAAGGGAGGAGCCCTAAACCCTAAACCCTAAATCGTCTAGATAGAAAAATGCTTCCTCTTCGAAGCTGGTGACACCTCTTAGGGTGAAAATTCCTGGATGCCGTAGCCCGCAGCTATGAAATGAACGTCCGAAGGATCCCAGAACTTGTGCGCTTGGAACTGCTCTGGGAACAAGTCGGACCGCAACTTGGTGTCTGGGTTAAAGACAAGTGTTGCCTTCTGCTCTTTCATGATCCGAGCAATCTGAGGATGGTCAGAAGAGATCTTCATCGGAGCTGGCAGATCTTCGACCACAACTACGTCACGGATCTGAGCTTCCTGTCCCATGAAAATGATGGGAAGTGGTGATTTCAGGCATCCGAGGATGGTCATCGGCACTTTGCCACTCAATGTGGAGGCCTGGCAATCACCAAGAGAAGTCAGAGCGGAATGACCAAAAGAAGGCAACGAAGCCAGGAAGCGCGCATCGATCAGGATCTCGGGAGTGTGAGCCATGAAGTCATTGATGGCGTTTATGCGCGTGCCGTCGGCAATCAGACTGGAGGACCCACAAAGGTTCGGATAAAACACCAAGTATTCACCCTCAGCCAATCCTTGCTGGCATGCCCTCCGTTCGGCTAGTGATTTTGCCACCTGGTTCTTCTCATGCGGAACCTGGGTAAAAAGCAAACTTGGGAAATGGCTGGCCAAACCTCTGGCGATGCTGACCATGACCCGCAAAAAGGGATCTTCGACCTTCCTCCGCCCTTGCATGAATTGCAGGATCAGCTGTGAGTCGCCCATGACTTCCAAGTGCTGACAGTCGGTCTTGTCCTTGACTAGGCGTCGGAGCCCGAGAATGAGTCCATGCAACTCTGCGCGGTTGCTGGCAGTCCTGCCTAGGCGTCTCGACTCTTCCCACAGGACTTCCTTCTGCGGCCCATAGCAAACTGCGCCGCAGCCGCCCACACCAGGATTCTCCACACACGAGCCTCCGAAATACAAGGTCAAGTCCATGCTTGCTTCACGTGGCAGGGTTGTCCTAGCTTGTCTTCTGAGCCAAGCAACTATGCCATAGATCTGTACTTGCAGAAATCCCAAAGCCTTGCCCCTTGCCCATACAAACTGCCCTCACCTAAATTGCAAACCCAAATTCCAAAACACAATACGCACTCCTGGATCGTGATTTGTATGCATTGCTATGCACCGCACGTGCCAGCTTCGCTTGTAAGTTTGGGTCTGTGACCCATCCTCGCCTACAAAGGAATAAATGCATTTGCGGGCTTCGAACTATAGTACTCTGCTGACTTATTCTGTCTTTTCCGGCATTGTTGCCAACCTGTTCCTTCCCCCTCGCCTCTGCAGCTGGGGCTTCTGACTCCCCCTGGCCCTTCAGCAATATAAGCACCTTTTTTGTGCAGCGAAGCACATGTCAGATGCTCGGATTGCGCCGCATCACGGGCACCTCCAGCTTTCCAGGGTTATATACTAGTAGGGCCTATATATAGGGATTCAGCGCGTGAATGCGGGTGACACAAGTCTTGTGTAGGAGTTCTGCACGGGTTTAGGCTCTGGTTTATACTTCTCGCCAGTGAG